TGTTATAGCTGTTTTGAATCATTTATTGTAAAAATATGTTTCATATTTTGTATTGTCAAAATTGTTTAGAATCATGTATTGTATAAAATATTATTTTTATGCTTAGTTTTCTTATAGCTGTTTAGAAATATTTATTATAAAATATTATTTTTGTACTTTTTGTTATAGCTGTTAAGAATAACTTATTATAGAAATATTGGTTTCATAATTTGTATTGTCTAAGCTGTTAAAGTAAATGATTCTTTATTGTTAAAATATTAGTTTCATACTTTGTATTGTGAATGCTGTGTGATATGAATCATTTATTGTGAAAAAGTTAGTTTTTGTGTGGCGCAGTAAGAATATCCACCAGTCCATATCATCCCGTGCGTGTCTTAAGAGGCGACATAGGGAAACAAATCAGAACATTGACAGCAGTTCTTTCCTAATAACAACTAAATTTAAAAGCTGCGGTTGGCAAGCCGCTTGCCAAGCGTTGCAACTATGGTAAATATCTCTTTTATGCGGCGATTGTCGAAGCTGTGTTCTGATGAATTACTTATTTAATTATACAAACATTTTTCTCTTGTCAAAGCTGTTATGAACAACAAAGGGCCAAGCACTCTTTTTATTTTTCGCCAGTTATGTTGCTGTGGACTACGGTCTAGTCCCAACTTCTAGTTCCTTTTCGGGCGGAACGCGATGGTTGGTTGGCGCTCACCGCACACGGCGTTGGCGTCTGTGAAGCCGTGTGCCTCCCCCACATTTTTTTAAAATGTGAGTGAGCGTAGTCCTTGTATCTGGTATTTAATATAAATATTGTAAGCCTTTTCCAAGCGGGAAGGTATTAATTAATATTGAATAACGGCCTATATCTAGACCTTTAGAAAGATCAATATATTGATTATCGGATCACGTATATTATTCATTTTAATATAGTTATATTTTATAGACGGCCATTTTATATATATAATAGAGGGGGCAGGGTTATTATAAAAATATTTCTTATTTTGTACTATCAAAGTTGTGTTTATGTAATCATTTATTGTAAAAAAATGTTATTTTCATATTTTTTTTTATAATTTTGTGAAAATTTATTGTTAGAGACATTAGTTGTTTTTTTTATAGGAGAGAGGGCAAACGAGCATGCGGCTCACCTGATGGTAAGTGACTATCGCCGCCCATGAACAACTGCAACACCAGGGGAATTGCAGATGCGTTGCCGGCTTTTTAAAAAGGAGTAGGCTGTTTTCTTGAAGGCCCCTAAGTCGTATCGGTCCGGAAAAATCGCTGGTGGTAATCGATTCCACAAGGAAGTTGTGCGAGGAAAACATCTTCTAAATCGCACAGTGTTTGACCGCCAATCATCGGTGCGAAGAGCCGAGAGGGGCATCGACGGAAACCTAATATCCGTCCGAATGAGAGGTCAGCAGAAGGTCCATCAGGGAAGGTATATGATCCCCCACATCTGGAATCCGCGTAGGCGAAGTAACCAGTTGTGTCAGACCATATGCCAAGGCATTTAATATTTTTTCAGTTTAATATTTTGTTATATCAAAGCTGTGTTTATGAATTATTTATTGTAAAAAATGTTATTTTCATATTTTGTTTGTGAAAATTTATTGTTAAAGACATTAGTTTAATATTTTGTTATAATAAATCTGCGTTTACGAATCATTTATTGTAAAAAAATATTAGATTATCGTGTAGTGACGGTCTCAGAATATCCACAACCCCATATCCCGTGGGTATCATCGTGAGAGGCGACAGAGGGAAACACATCAGCAGGTGGACTGATCTTCCTAATAACTGCAGTTGCCAACCCACTTGCCAAGCGTGGTTACAGCTTTGGATTGATTCATAGCCGTTTCAGTTTACCGTTATGGTATTAGCTTAACGTTTTGTAATGTTAAAGTTTGTTATGATTCATTTATTATAATAAACTCATTCAGTTATAAAATAATAAAATTTACTATTTTTGTATAGACACTAGCTGTGTTATTAATCTATTAATGATATAAACATTAGAATAAAAATATTAGTTTTATATGTTGTATTGTCAAAACTATGTTAAATCTTTTCCTATCTCCTTTATTTTCATTAAGTTCAAAAAATATAGAATAATGTACCAATTATTTTTGTTTAATTTCATTCATGTTAAAAAATATCGTAGTTAATTCCTATTTACAAATTATGAATCACACTAGGTATTAGGGTTAATTATTAACAACCGACTGTTAAATTAAACATTTGAAGCATTTAGTTATTATGCAGCTATCTTTAAAAATGTTTCAAATGTTTAATTCACAGTTGGTTGTTGATAATTAATCCTAGTTCATAAAGCGTAATGAATGACCATGAACAGAGGTGTATATGTAGAAGTGTATGTTTATATGCACGCACACATTCTCACAATATTGTGGCGAAACGACACCAGACGGCGCTAGTACTCCTCGGTTGACAGATTACGCACGAGTGGGCTCTCTTTTCCTGTATAGGTCAGTTACTATACTCTTTGTATAAGCTCATGGCTCCAGTACACGTTGGCCGAGCGCGCTCGCCGAGTGTGTTCGGCCAACGTGTACTTTGCCGTTTTGTGTGTATTTGGCGTTTGCGGCCAACACTCGGCCACAAGCCGTATAGTGTCGGTTTCCCGTGCACAAATCAAAGAAATTTGGCGCAAGCTGCAAACAGCGATCACACGTTGGCCGAGTGTTCAGTTCATAGTTACGCGTCGAAGTAGACTGTAGTGTCGGCTTAATAAAATTGTTTCAACATGGCGACATGGACTAATTAGGAAATATTTATTTCTTTATTTAACAGTTTATGTACACACATAATTCGATAGGAAAATGGTAAAAACATAATAATGTACAAAATCACTGCCTATTCCATGATGAAATTTCTTCCAGCAGGCCTATTGAAGGATAGTTGAAGGAAATAGAGGTAGTCAAAGTGTGCATTTACATAAATATACATATACAATACAAATATATACATATACATACACACACACATTATATATATATATATATATATATATATATATATATATATACGCATGTATTTTTTACATTTTCAAAAATGATCGAGTGTAGCTGAGATAATTTATAATAATATTTATCATTAGGTAGGTGCTCCGAAATCGCAACTAAACATGTATTATTTAATGCAGTTAGGCAAGTTACTTACTCTGATTTTATTTTTATGTTGCTCATGTTTGGGGTTTCATATAACTGATTCATTATGAGAATCAATCAATGAACAATGAATCAATATTTCACTCCATAATTATTAAATTGTAATATGTTGGTATGCATATAAGTAACATTAAAAAATATTATATTGAATTATATATTTTTTCATAATATATAATATTTATTTATATATTATATATATATAAATAAATATTATATAAAACCAGAGTAAGTAACTTGCCTAACTGCATTAAATAATACATGTTTAGTTGCGATTTCGGAGTACCTACCTAATGATAAATATTATTATAAATTATCTCAGCTACACTCGATCATTTTTGAAAATGTAAAAAACTCAAAAATAACCACTCTTTGACAGGACAGAAATTCGACAGAAGGTTGAAGGAAGGGGAGGGGTGGCAGGAGCTGTCAATTACGATATGTGAACCATAGACTAAGAGGTTCATATGACTTGTATGAAGATTACCTGCCGTGACAGTAAGTAATCTATGGTTTTTTGAAATGTGGCGGTTTCAACCTTTCAACCGTTATTATATTTGAAGTTTGTTTTGTTTAGCGTCCGGGCTGCGTTTTATTTAACTATTATTCAATTCATATATTGAGATCTATTTAGGGATTTACTTCTATTTCTTAAATACATTACTCCTAGTGAAGTGTTTTGACGTAAGTTTTTTTTACTTTTAGCCAAGCCAGTGCTTGATCACTATTCCCACCTGGCCGTAAGCTGGTAAGTGGTGATGAAGCCCTATAAAATTATGTAAGCTAAAACTAAAATTTTCTAGTATGGGTTATACTGCTAAAGAGTACATGACTGACAATAATCCCTGGGAATGAGATGATCGCTACTATGATGTTTCTAAATGTTTTCATAACAATTGTATAAAGTATATTGTAAATTGTGTTTTTTTTTTAAAAAGTCCCGCTGGGTTTCTTGCTGGGTCTTCCCAGGACAGAGGTTTTTTTGCGAACCAGTGGTAAAAGTAAGAAATGACTTGTCAATAAGTATTATGAATTGTAATGTATTGAATAAAAATTATTCTATATGGAAATCCGCACTGTTTCATCTATAATCTATAATACATTATGTTTCAAACGCATAACAATCATACTAAATCCGTTGTATCTTAATTTAAATTTATTTGGTGTTCATAACAAGGCAATTTATATATTGAACATAAATGTTTTCTCAAAACGTTTAAAACCGAAATTATATTTCGGTTTTAAACGTAAGTCGCAATTTGCCTAATGTTAAAATCATAAGTAGCAATTAATGTAAAATGAAATTTCGAAATAGTTTCTTAATACAATGAATAATAAGCATAATTATTCAAGAAAAACTTGTATTTTCTCTTGCTTATTTTATTTCCTAATTAAAATGTAAAACCAACTCAACTATGAAGGACTTTTTTTTATAGAATAAGGGTGACAAACAAGCTAATAGTCTACTTGATGTTAAGTGGATATTGTGGCCCATAGACATCCACATCTATACTCAATTAAGAATGAAAATGCAGATGCATTGCCACCCCTGACGACGAAGATGAAATTCCTCATTTCCAGTAAAAAGAGTCTCCGGTTGTCTACACTCACCATACGAAACACAGCTGCATTAAGCTACTATTTTACGCTGGTATTCTGTGAGAGTGTGGTCCTACCCTGGTTAAGCTGACCCATTCATGCTGTAACCATAATATAGCTTCAGCATGGTTCTACCACATAAAAATTATGCAAGCACTGTATTATTGAGATAATATATTTTAACACAGTATTTTGTACATTTTACAGATAAATTGAATAAAACCAATGGCTTCAGTTGAAGAAAAACTTGATAAATTAAGACAAGAAAGAATTGCTCGTGAAAAAGCTAGGATTGAAAAGGTGCTATTAAGTTATTTTTATTTTTAATGTTAGCAGTTCTAAAGCATGTATCATATTGTCTACTACTATGGTTGTTTTCAAAGTTAAGTTGCAGCCTGTATACAACCCACAGCTCAACACAAGCCTCTACTCATTTCACTCATTCATTATTTGTCCAGTCCTGTCCAGTGCATGTTGGAGAACTTTACATATCCTCAAAATACTTTATTTCTCACTTGTACAGGTTTTCTCAGTCTATATTAATTGCTGAGCATTAGGTAAATAAACAAAATTTACAATTCACAATTTAGTTAGTGCTGACAGTAATCAATTAAGTTGCTTGTGTACTTGTAAATTTATGGTGAGAACTTAGTGCAACTAAAATGTTGGAATTTTTTACTATACAGGGGACTATTAAACTAGAGATGTACTCTTATGTATCTGCATTCTACAATACTAGTAACACTACAAAATGTCCCATGGTATTTTTCATATTTCAGAAAAACAGAAAAAATTTATACACCTTGCCCCATTGTAAGTGAAGTTTAAAAATATGCCTTTACTATACATTATGTATGACTAGTGATCCGCTCTGGCTTTGCATGGTTGATTTCTGGATCTCGATAACAACGCCACCTACTGGGCCTGATTGTGTATCTAAATCATTGTCTCACTTCAACTTAAGCACACACATAAAACTTCATCAAATTCAATTCAGCCATTTAGGAGGAGCTCAGTCACATGCACACCATCCGAGGAAATATATCATATGCACACATTATACACATAAACCTTCCTCTTGAATAATTCTGTCTATTCGTGAATATGTATTATGATATAGGTAGGTAGGTATCAAAATCCCTTGCATAAGTTTAAAAGATCTAAGCTTTCAGTTGCGAAAGCGACTTTGTTTTATACTAGGTCATTATTGTCAGTAATCATTATTCACTTCTATAAAGTTTATGTGCTTGCATTTGAGGTAGAAGTTGACGTTCTTGCAATCAGTAAATTCAAATAGTGTTGTGTTTAGTTGTAGAAAAAATGCAACTCATCATTATCATCTTTCAAGTACCTTTCTATTAAGTATCTGTGCTAGCTGTGTTTCTCTATTTTACTAATGTGTCTTTAATTTATTTACAGTTAAGAGAGTTAAATTTAAAGAAGTATAACAAGAACGAAGCATATTCTATAAACCATAGTGTATCTAATGTTTCTATTGCCAATAAGTCTATCAGTTCAAAAACATCTAACACATCCACAAAAAACAACGTAGGTAATTCTGTTAAAAACAATTTCCATGTTAATGGCACAACTAAAAGACCTATTTCTGCTCCTCTAAACAAATCTACAACTAACAAAGTTACAAGTAGCTCCATTAAACCAGGGGAGACATCTAATTCAAAGCCTAATAATTTCAAAAATGATACAAACAGCAAAGCTTTTGATAAAAGCACTGAAGGAAAACAAGTCCACAAGTTTGATAAAACGGTCCCGAAAGCTACAAAAAAGGAGGAACAGAAAATTGATTTGTATCGAAATGTGAACACAAATTCAAGAACAGGTAAAACCAATAACAATCAAGGTAAAGCAATCTGTAAAAGTTTTGCACCAGCTACTTCCAAGCCTGGTATAACTTCAAAATCATTTAGTACTCTCACTAAACCGAATGACAGTAAAAAAAGTATTCAACCTCCAAAAGCAACACAGAGTGCCTCAAAAGTTAATCCTGAACGAGTTTCAGTGTTTGAAAGGTTATATAAACCCAAAATAGTCAATAAAGTAACAATAAATGAAGCTGAAAAACTGCATACAGATCCCAGCTATTTAAGAAAAATTATTAAAGATTCACATTTAATCATGAAACAAAGACATTCTGTAGCACACACAAGACCTTTACAAAAAACAGCACATCCTGTTAGAAGATCTATATCAGCAGTGCATTTTAAGAAAGTTAGTAAAAGTGAACTAAGTAATTGTATTCACAAATGGGCTTCAATAGGTGAGAAAATAGATAAAGTTGATATGAATGAAATAGATGAAGATGAGTGTGTCCAGTGTGAGAAAGTTGTCTCGGCTGTGAAAAGTGAGAGGAAGAGGGTGAAATTTCAAACACCAGTTTCTCTGAATTACAACACTCCCAGACCAGAAGAGATGCAAGCAAGACTGCAGAAGTGGCTGCAGAAACGTGGAAAGTCTTTAGATTCCTACCACCACTTGCAGTGTTTTGGTATTTTTCATCTATCCAAAGATATTAAGTCATTGGAGGCTCCTAAATTTGAGTTATATGATGAGGAAAATAAAGAGAATATAGCTGTGGAGTCTGATAGTGATAATCAGTCATACACAGACAATTTAAATGATCAAAAAGATGACTTTGTGAGTGAAAATAAGACTGAAATGAGTAATGTCAAGTGGCGCAGAGCCAGTTATATTAGCGACAGTGCTAGTTTTAATGAAAGCAAAAATACAACATTGACTTCGGCTGAAGACCTGCAACATTTTGATGAATTGCTGCTTGGAGCCTTAAATGATTTGACGGAGTTATTGCGAGAGGTAAACATTATTTTTATCTTACAATCTTAGCATTTAATATTTTAAATTGATGTGTACTAACCAGTTAAACAAAACTCGTATAAAATGACATTGGTCATAAAGCTATCCAATGGAAGTATTATTAATGTTATCCAAAACGACTGGAGAGAGATCAGGTGCAAGACCAACGACTTTATGTGCTTTCCGAAGCACAGGGATGAAACAGACTCCAGGCTGTTACTGAGAATTTCTTAACAGAAAAAACAATAACTGACTTCCCAAGGCAAATGAGGCAGTGAATCAAATGGAAGTTGTGTTCTATTGTCCTATGTATTCATACTACAATACAAAGAAGCAAGTTTTTTTTTAAACAAAAGGGGGTAAAAGAGTGCAGCTCACCTGATGGCAAGTGTTCCCCGCCGGCCATGTAAAACTGCAATACAAGAGTAATTGCAGGTGCATTGCCGGTCTTTTAAAAAGGTGTGGGCTCTTTTCTTGAAGATCTCTAGGTTGTACTGGTCTGAAAAAATCGCTGGTGATATTCAATTCCACAAAGTAGTTGTGCGAGGAAGGAAACTTGTGGAAAATCACACTGGTGGACAGGTAAGTATGCAGACAGTGTATATGGTATTAAATTTTTTGTCACAATCTTCGATAATGAAACTTAGCAGCTGTAATAGGGAATTAATCCAAAAATTGCATGAAGCATTTCCATGCATGGTAAGACATTGTATGTCTCTTCGCCAGTGATTTAGAAAACCAGCAAATACTCAATTGCCGACGATTCTCGCCACTTTTCTCTGGCAGCAGTAAAATGGAAGGAGTTGGAGAATAAAATGTGCACCTAGTAAAGTTGCGTGTGGCGGCATGAAATACTGTGCAGCTCTACTATGCTAGCTTTATAGAAGCCATTTTGGTCTTCTTTTTCAAGTGAGTGTGGAAACTAAATGAATAATAATGTCAGCATTGCTAAAATGCTGTTAAGGCCATAGTCTGTTAATGTCGGTTTCAAAGCTAATAGATCAATATAATATCAGTGGATTTAAAAAATATATTGACAGATAGACTCTAAATTCCAGGGCTTTGACTGGGAACAATGTGCCCGATGGCTGCGTGCGATCCGAGATCGTTTTCCATCAGCACCAGAGAGTGCTGCGTACTGGGAGTGCCGCGCCGCACTTGAAGAGCGTCGTGGTGATCTCCCTGCCTCCATGCAGTGTTTGGGAGAGGCCATCGCTATGGGCACTGAGGTGAGCGGTTCTTTCTAATATTAATTCCTCTTCCTCTTTACCAGTCTTTTTTTGTTTCACGGCTGGATCATGAGTTTCAAGTTTCGTTTTCGAAAAGAACTACTCTGTTTGTCTTATTCAAAAATGTGCAACTGCCAAGGGCCCAAACTCATGATGCTGGGCTGGCAGTTTAGTTTTTCTTTGTTATTCAACACTGTTTAGTAGTGGTGTAGATTTCCCCATATTATCTCATGGGGGTCAGGAAGGCGACAAGGAAATGAGATGGACAGCACCATCTTTCTAATAGCAACGAAAAATGCGTTTTTTTTGCATGGTTGCTATGGCAAATATCCCCCCAATGAAGCAGTCTAATGGAAAGGCCTATGTCCAGTAGTAGATTTTTGATAAGCTGTGATGTGATTAAATGGTAACTAATGAGCACACAGTCCACCTGATGTGCGTGTGAGTAGACCCTGTGCCCCATAGACACTTATATCTATCCTCAATTAAGAATCAAGATGCAGAAGCATTGTTACCCCTGAGGAATAAAATTTAATGTCTCCATTACCAGTAAAAAAGTTCTCCAGTTATCCATTCTACAGTTCTTTATACTATTCTAAAAAAACAAAATAGTATTATATTGCTATTTAACACTGGTATTCTGTGAGAATGTTGTCCTTTCCCATTAAACAACTGCAGCATTACAGCCTTCATACAGTTGCAGTGAGGTTGTGCCAAGTAAACAAAGGGAAAACCAAGAGAGAATTAGAGTAGAGCCAGTAATCTCTCATTGATATCACTGGGGTGCAGTGTTATCACCAGTTTGTGACTGGATTTGATATGGCGTTTTTTAAATAAATATTTAACACATAGTTATGTCTAAAGAACTGTTTTATGGGTTTGTGTATAATCTTTTGAGTTTTATTTCCCTCTTACCTGAATATTTCCTTGCTAGGCACGCCTTGGCACCATCCCAATTTTTCTAGTTTTTCTGGTGTATGGGATGTGTAGCCTTCATTTTATTTTTGGATTTAAGTATATTAATTTTCTGGTATTTATTAAATACTAGCTGGTACCCGGTGCGTTGCTGCCGCAAAAGAAATAATTATTGTTTTAAATTTGGAAGAGTTGCATTGTTTTATTACAAATGATAATACATTAATTGAAAATGAAAAATATTTTATTATTAGAAAAAATTATACAATACATAATTGATACAAAAATACTGTTGGTTTCCTCACTAGTTGCCTAGTATAGAGGAAACCTGAGACCAAAGTTTATTAAGCGTTATTTTATATACCTCATTGAATTTGAATGATCAATAACTTTCAAATAAATTCTTCGATACGATACGCAGACGGTCTAAGGTAACTTGATTGTACTATCCCTATAACCTTCGCACAAGTGCAAGCAATAAGTTTACAAAGTTTTAGCGCAATCTAATGAACGGTATGGCAGCGCATAAAATACGAACAAACAAATAATCATTAATTTTATATATTAGACTAGCTGGTACCCCGGCGCAGTGCTGCTGCAGAGGAAACTATAGTGATATTGTTTATTTAGGAATGATACATTCGTTGAAATTGAATGATAACTTTCAAAAAAATTTGTCGGTACGATACCCGCGCCACCTATTTACTGTATTTTAACTGTACTCTGCCTATAACATTCGCGCAAGTGCCAGCAATAAGTTGACAAAGTTTTAACGCAATCAGATGATCGGTATGGCAGCGCATAAAATACGAACAAACAAAAATTAATTTTTATATATTACATAACAATGTTATCATCGTGTCACAATAGCGTTAACGGACTGCACCACAACTGAAGACTTATTCACAATGTATATCTTTATATATAAAAATTACGTGTCACGTTGTTTGTCCGCGATGGACTCCTAAACTACTGAACTGATGTCAATGAAATTTTGTACACTGTGTGCATTTTGGTCCAACTTGAGAGATAGGATACTTTTTACCCAGCTAAATGACCCTCAAAATTTTTTATTGCGAATTTAAGGATTTTTATAGGAAGAGTAGTTGGAAAGGGCAGAACAACGTCTGCCTGACGAGCTAGTATATATATATATATGTTTCAAAACAACCCTGCACATATATAATATGCTCTATACTACCACATGGAGCATGATTACCATAGTTAGTTAGTTTACAACGGGCTGTTTTCCGCAACTCAACATCTATGCGCGTATTTTGCGTGTGGGCAGGAATAAAGTGATTATTCGAGCCATGAGATCTCCCCAAAGAAGCTCAACAGTCCTTTGATGTTGCATGCAACTTCGGGGATTGATCCCGGCGTGCCGAGATGTTTAGCCCTGTACGTAGCGACCTCCGGACATTTCAGTAGCACGTGGGTCGCCGTTTCTTCCTCCCCCATACATGCCCTGCACAGGGGACTATCTGTAACACCTATACTATAGTAAATAAATGTTTGTTAAAGGTGCCGTGTCCTGTGATTGCACTTGTTACTATCCTAATCTGCAGCTTGTTCAGTCTCATTAGAACTTTGGTTAAACAACTGTTTATTTCAGGCAGGGCCTCCCTTGCCTGTTTACAGTCTACTAGATTTTTCCAAAGCTGAGTGTGTTGATTAGTGAAGTGTCTACGTACCAGTGAACGAATGTTACCAAAGGGGATTGGTATGATTGGTTCCGGCCCTGTAGTGGCCAGAGCCGATCCTCTTCTGGCCAGTTCCTTTATCCATTGCAGAGTCACATTGTTGTTTTTACATACCTCATTTAATCGTTGATGGCATTCATATATTAGTCCCGAGTTCACCACATTGCAACTCAGAGCTTGTAGTACCGCCCTACTGTCGGCCCGTATTCTGATGGGGAAGTCATTAACCTTCCTAGTGTCTATTGCTATGGCCGCTTGAATGATACCCATACATTCCGCCTGAAAGATATTGATATTAGATATTGAGGTCTTCAGAGAAAGTTCCGGAATCTATACCTTCATTTGTTTTAGAACCATCGGTGAAAACTCTAAGCTCTTTTGGGCCGGAAGGATTAACCTTCCGGCTGTCTGGTTTAATTTAATTGTATCTTGTATTTCTTATATAATACAAATTGTTTAGGAATCTTATTGTACTTGGCTTGTAAGAATTTTTGAGTGAATTCTATCAATTATGCCTGTATGAGGGACACTATTCTTACTCCAAAGATTTAGAGTCTTGAGTCTGAGGGTTAGCTCCAGCATCGCTTCTAAGGCTGCTGTTGGCGTAGTCCTTATGCAGCCTGTGGCAGCCATACATGCAAGGCTCTGGTAGCGCTGAAGCTTCTTTATAGTGGTGGCTTCATTTGTCATGGTCCACCACACCAGAGCGCCGTATGTGATTATGGGCCGAATTACAGTTTTGTACAGAACAGTATAATTTTTGGCGTCAGTCCCCATCTTTTGCCAATCATGTTTCTGCATTGCCAGAAAGTTATGCTAGCTTTGTTGATTTTGTTTTCTATGTGTTTATTCCAGTTAAGTTTGCTGTCCAAGGTAAGACCTAAATATTTTACCTCAGAGGATAGCTGGAGTTCTGTGCTGAAAAGACTTGGGAGATGATAGTTATTCAGCATTCGTTTTTGTGTGAACATTACTAGAACCGTTTTATTTGGATTGACGGTTAAGTCGTATTCCCTGCACCATCTCTCCACTATACGGAGAGCCGCTTGGGTCAGGTCGTACACTATGCTTGCTGTCTTTCCAGAGACCAGTATTGTCAGGTCATCAGCATAACCTACTGTGTAGAAGTGATTGGCATTTAATTTGCTGATGAGTTCATTAATGACCATATTCCACAGGAGAGGTGAGATTCACCAGCAATCTTTATTATTCATGTACTGAGCATGTTTACTATCCAGTCAATCAGTGCCGGTTCAACTTTGTCTACTGAGTGCACCTTTTATGCTGGAGAAGTTTGTTCTGTCAAAAGCACCTTTTATATCAATGAAGGAACCTAGACATATTTGTTTTTTTTTTTTGGATGGCCTCTTCAATCTTTGTTATTACCTGGTGAAGTGTCCATTCTGTTGATTTGCCTAGACTGTAGGCGTGTTGCTTGTCGTGTAGTGGTAAGTTCATTAGCGCCGACCCCCTTAGTTACCTTTCATACATCCTCTCCATCGTCTTTAGGAAAACGGATGTGAGGCTAATGGGCCTGTAGGATTTAGGGTCTGTGTAGTCGCTCTTACCTGGTTTGGGTATGAATGTGACTTTCACTTCCCTCCATCCCCTAGGAACATATTTAAGAGCCAGACAGTCTCTCATTATGGCAAGAAGTCTGACTATTAGGGCCTTACCTCCCACTGGGAGTGGGAGCCCTGCCGCTATATAGGGGAGGAAACTGTGAATAGCCCAATGGATTTTGTCCATTGTTACCACTCTCTGTGCTAAATTCCAGTCTTCTGCTTTTGGTGTCAGTATGTCGTCATGCCGGTTTGCCTCCTGGGTTACGCAGCAACCTGGGAAGTGCGTTTCAATTAGGATGCGTTGGGCTACATCCAGTGATGTTGAGTAGCTACCGTCGGGTTCCTTTAGAGAAATGGATCCCGACGTGTTCTGTTTAGCTAGAATATTCCTTATCCTATTCGCTTATTCGCAGGTTTCTATGTTGTCACAGAATTTACGCCACCCTGTCGAGCGTCGATACCAGATAATTTTTTTGTATTCGGACTTAGCTTTCTTGTTTAGTAGCCAGTCTTCATCCGTTGGTTGGATATTCATGGCCTTATCTAGGGCTTTTCTTACCTTCTTACGTTTTATATCTAGTTCTTTACCCCACCACGGTTGCTTTACCTCAGCATGCCTTGGTGTAGTGATTTCTGAACATGATTCATGGTAGCTATCTATCATGGCCTTAGTAACAGCTGCTACCTGTTCTTCTAGGAGCGATTGAACTGCTTATAGTATTTGTCCCCTCAAAACCCGCGAGCGAAGACGTCAGCCTATTAAGGTATTTTGTTTTATCCGTCTTGCGGGGATTTCTCCATGGTGGTGTAGCGGGGATATCGACCTGTAGTGCGAAGCAGATCCATCTATGATCTGAGCATGAGGCCTCTCTTGACACATGCCATCCCGTAATTAGTTTAGCTGCTCCTTCTGTTGCAAGTGTGAGGTCTATTATTGTGCGACAGCGTTTGTTTATGAAAGTTGGTTCAGAACCTGTGTTTAAAATGGTTAGGTTAGTGCTAAATAGATATTCAACTAACACCTTACCTCGTTCATTCGGTCTTTCCATTCCCCAGAGTGGATGATGCGCGTTGGAGTCTGTCCCGATCAAAACCTCTAGTCCGGTCTTCTCGCAGAAGTTCACCAGCCTCACGAGGTCATGAGGGAGTGGAGTGTCTTCCTCCGGCATATAGACCGAGGCGACGACTAATCTTCTCTCCTATGTATATTGTATTGCCACGGCATACATGTCTCTAGAACAGAAATCTGTTAATGGTTGTGCACAGATATCTTTAGTAGTGTAAATACACGCTCTAGGCTTGTCGTGTTCAGAGCTGTAGAATAGCTTACCTTTTAGGTTGTTTAGGCCTTTAATTTTACGAGCTCCTACCCACGGCTCCTGGATTAAGGCTATCGCCGTCCTTTGAGCCTCCAATCACTTGCGTAATTGAGCCGACGCAGTATCGCTGTGGTGGAGGTTGGCCTGCACTAGGCTAGTTTTGGACGAAGGGCACGCCATCATTGATCGCGTCCTCTCCGTCCCCGCCCAAAAATAAGCCTGCCAGCAGATCTCGGGTTTCATACTCAGCTACCGAGTCGGAAGTGGTCGACAAAATGCAGTCCTCTTCGTCACTCATTGAGCTGCCGCCGAGCCCGATCTCCACTGGGGGCTTCGGCTCAATTGTGCAGGCTGTTTTTTCAACGGACTTGGGCTCCAGTGATTCCGCTGTACCGGTAACCATGACTCCCATAACTTCCGGGTTATTGTCTGCCTCTGCTTGGTGGAGTGTCAAAGAATTTACCTCTACGATCCTGGAATTTTACGTATACCGCCCCACATACACATGCGAAACGGCGTCTGGCTTTCATCAGGGGCGGGATATGATCCTCCAGCACCGAATCAACAAGGAACCACCCGTCCGTCTGCTTATCTGTCTTGAGTAACAGCCAGTCCCTGATGTTAACCCAGCGGTTCGAGTACGCCAGCACACGTGCAATGTCGCGTCAGTCTTTCCAGGCTCCCTGGGCATCAAGGATAAGGATACCGGATAACGCATTTGACTCTTTGTGGTATCTCCGACTGTTTCTTTATGGTCAGCGAGGTGTTGGATTTAAGGTCGAGGGTTGCCATATTCCCTTTCAACCAATCCAGAGCCTTCTGATCGTCGCACCACAATTTCAGGACACCCTCTGTGTAAACGAGTTTGCCTCTTAAAACTGAGCCAGACGCATCAGGGTCCTGGTCAATCCAGGTCTCACTGATCATCTTCCTCTGTATTGCCACGAGGATGTTGTCTGCTACTTCCTTCGTAATGTGACCTGAACGCGCACACGTAAAATCTGCTTTAGCAGCGGAAGCGTAGATTGTTCTTGCAGCCTTTGGTTGCTGTTCAAGTCGCACTTTTTTGTGCTCACCTCTCGGTGAGGTGGACTCTTCCAGCATCCTTTTGGCTGCTATTTCCTTCTTCCCAGGACGCTTGGCCGCTCGCTGCTTCCTGACGGATATCTTAGAGCTGGTTCCCGCGGCCACGTTTTAAACTTTTGCTGGATCTTTATCCTTCCCAGCTTCAGCGCGGCTACTGATTCTAGCTGTAAGCACCCCAGTCGCAGTAGCTTGCCCAGCCTCCGTGGTTTTAGTTTTAGAAGCAGCCAGCGCGGCTCGTTCTCTTCGGCCTTTTTACCGCTGCTTCTTATTCTTCTTTTGGCCTTTCCTATACTGCCTGGAGGAATAGACCCTCTTGATGGTCCGTCAGGTCGGCAAGTCACCTTTTTGGGTGCCTTGCCTTTCCCCTTACGGCTCACCACTTGCCAGGCAGCAGAGAAAAGGTCGTCCGTTCTTTGTGGCTCCCCAGTTTTGTTACTTGCGGGCTCTTGCTCCTTTTTCTCGTCTAGCTCCTCAGGTTTGGAACTGGTTTTGGAAACGTCCAGCGCGGAAGTTGTCCCCTTGGTGCGGTCACCTACGCTGGACGGTGCTGTACGTGGAACCGTCGGTTTATTGGCGGTTCCCCCTTGTTCTTTGGTGTCTCTGGTAAGCACCTCTGACACCTCTCCCTCTTTCTTACTGGGCCTTAAATTGTCCATTTGCTTTGTGTTTAAAATTCGTCCCCCCGGCTTCCCACCCTCCATGTAGCCCGCACCTTTGGGAACGCCCTACTTTAAAAAAAAGAATTTCAGGCGTTAGGATTACCGGGAGAATATAGGAACGCGAAGTTGGCTCACAGCGCGACATCGGGAGCTCGATCCAGCTGGTAGATGGGGCTGGCAAGGCCAATCCCCACTACCCGAATAAACTATCACTTGCTCCGTCAGCATGGCCTTTACCACCACCCACCCCCTTTTCAGGAAAACTAGGCAGCCCCCACATCACTCGCCCGCGACCCTCTGACGGGGCGCTTGGCCATTTCTCTATCTGTGGCTAGCAGATAGGGCCACCGTTTAGCTTGAAATCCGGGTCAAAGAGGGCGTGTTGCCTCTCGCCACTATATACCCCAGCGACGATCGGCTCAACCCTCCAGGACTCCTTCATCCCCGCGTACGGTGCTCGACTGCGCAGGTCCTAGTGCAGGTGGGTGTGTTAGTCCACCGTATACATCCACTCTCCGGCGGAACCGGCCCCTCCTCCTTTCTCATCCGGGCTTGGGACCGGCAATGGCGGAGACCATAATATTATTCTAGTTTTTACCATTTTTTTTTATTTTGCACAGCGGTCAGTAGTGGAATCAAGTTTGGACCAGCTACTGGATAAGTTTATGCAGCTGAAGATTAGCCCAAACAGCGGCCGTCAGAAGTCGGTCGACCCGAAAATGGTAGATGTGAAAAATGTTTTCAAGAGCACCATTATTCGCTTTGCTGTGCAGCAGGCTAAATTGTAAGTAAACTCTAACATTTATTATCATCATCATAATCACCAATATCATCATCACCATCATTATCACCAGCCTGTAAAATTCTATTGATGGACATGGGCCTCTCCCATCGTATGGAGGATTTGTCTTAATTTTCACATATGGCAGGCAAATTGATACTTGTGATACCAGATGTTTCGAACCTTTGATGTAGTTCCTCTTTGAAATTCTATGTATTTTGCTATCTTAAAATTAATAGCATCATGTGTTTACAGAAATTCATTGTACCAAAGACACCTAACCATTTATTATATTTCCACTTCGTATATATATCCGCCCTTAGAGAAATAAGTTGTGTGAGTTTGTATAAGTGTTAGTATTGTGTTTTGAACAACTTATGTATATAAAACACCTCGTCCATATCATCTATCCATCCATCACAGCCTATAATATTTCTCTGAACATATTTGCCCTATTCTTGATTTTCTATGTCCATAAATGGTGTCACTTTTTCATTAATTCAACCGTACAGAATTTAATTTCTTTATTTCTTTCATCAAGTGACGCCCCGTAGGGGCATAGAAATTTATAAGAGGGTAGTTATTTATTTTATTATACTAAATATTAACTACTACATACTAAATACCAACTATCTTATTTCTTAACATTTGCTAGTCTAACATCAATTTTTTTTTAATTATTACACATACATTTACTATTTATTTGCATCTATAAAGAATTCACTTAAATTATAATAACTTTTATCGATTAAGAATGACTTTATTTGATTTGACATTTAATTTAATAAACAGCAATAAATAAGCATTTAATAAGATAATTTTGTCAATACAACCACACTTGACTGACGTGTTGACTATTTTTTAACGCCCGACGAAAACAGAGGGATGTTACATGTATGTTTGTAGTGTGTCCGTGTGTCCGTCTGCGGCATCATAGCTCCAGAACGGTTGAACCGATTTTCATTAAGTTTTTTTGGTTGAAAGGTGTCTTAATTGAGAGTATTCTTAGCTATGTTTTAGCCGTTTGAAAATCTTCAAATCGTAAAATCTTTTTGTTTTGTTTGTCAAATTTTTTAATTTAAGTTATTTGATATCAAGTTGTTATGAGGGAGATGCTGCAGCCCATTTGTTTCCATTTCTCTCTGTCCAAATTGTTGCCTCTTACGACATTTTATATAGGTAGTGGATTCTCTTAAACTTCCACTAAAATGCTTAATTACTACTTGTTAATTAAGACATCTACGATTATTTCAGACGTCAATCGAACCATTATGAGCCACCAAAGTACACAGTGACTCCAGTACGGCGCAGTGGAAGACTAAGTGTACACGGAAGTGCCAAACGTACACCTTTGCAAGTCTGCTCATCTGTTAGCCAGGCAACCAGTCTAGGACATCCAGTTGTCTTCGTACCGAATGACCAGCTTTTTGGAACACCTTAGTCTTAGCAAAAAGTCGTAATATAAAATGGAGGGTTTATAATATTGATATTTCTAATAATCATTTAGAATAAAAGACTAGGCTACAATTATATTTTATATACGCGATTAAATCCGTAAAATTAGTTTTATTTAAATTATATTTAATTTTATATATAATTAATATTAATATATTACTTAAAAACAATTCTAGTAGCATAGTGATATACTTGAGTATTCATTTCTTTCTCATCATGACATTTTTTTCTTTTAATTTAATGTATTTTTCAGCATTTTATGTTTTATTATGATTTATTATAGATTTTCTTTTATCTATTTTCTGTAATTTCTTCATAGTCATAGTTTTGAGTGTGTCTAGATTTTAACTCGTCTCTTGGCCTTAATCTCCATTTAAATATTATTTATAATCATATGTTATAAAAGTTGTAAATTGTTGTGTGTATGAAATAAAACAAATTAATGTATTAATGCTTTAAATGCCTATTAAATATTGACTTATGACAAAGCTCGCTTGATGCGAAAAATTTCGTTTTTTTTTTTATAGGATAAGGGTGACAACCGAGCACACAGTCCACCTGATCGTAAGTGGTTGCTGCGGCCCATAGACATCTACATCTATCCTCTATTACAAATCAAAATGCAGATGCGTTGTCACCCGTATTCAAAAAAAAGTCGCATTTTCTTGTAATGTTTTACTGCCGGGGCTGCATCAGTATACTATTATTTATCCTACTTATGTGAAATATAAAATAAAAGATGAATTACGTGTCGTAAAAAAGTTTTCACTTCGTACGTGTGCCTACGTGTACACAATTACACGCACATTTTTTTTAACTACTGGATAAAGTAAATTCTTACCAGAGTATGTTATATAGTTTGAATTTGTAATTATTTGTATCTTCGATTATTATGTACTCGTCCGGTTATAATGTTGCTAGAGTTAATTAAAAAGAAATTATTATTTTCCAAAGACCCGTCCCGGCTTCGCCAACGCCAAGGCCTTTCGCCAATCTATTAATGTGACGTCATATGTACAACAAAAAGAAATCTCCAAAGTTTTCAAGGAAATATAGTATAGATCACTCATTTAGATTGCTCTCTAGCTGTTCGTGAATTTTCATCACAATCGGTTCAGCCATTACGAAGATCATTAGCCTTTACTGACAGACAGACAAAAGTTTTACAAATTATTATACATGTCATAATGGGTCTAACAAATGTTTTTTACTTTACACGCCAAATAAATCTACAAAATAGTACCAGAAAAACTGTGTTTTTACTTTTTTCGTATCTTAAAAATTGGTTGAGATATTAACTAACTAACTAATTATTAAGATTTTTAAAAACGCGGGCGGGCGCTCGCTAGCCGATGACGTCACACCCCCGCTCATACAACAATCGCGCTCTCGCCTGCCCGCCGCTGCGCAGTAAAAATCAGAATTTTAAAGTTCTCTGTGGTAAAAAAAAATACTGTGTTGTGCCTCAGTGCTTCAATTCAACAGTTAAAACACCTCTTTTTTATTTGCCTGAGGACCCGAAAATGAAGAAAAAGTGGATGACAGCCGTAAAAAGAGTCGATTCAATAGGCCCTAAAACTAAAGCGAGCATTGGATAAAATTAATCAAAATTAGGTTAGCATCTGTTTTAGTATAATAATAGAGCAATAGGTACCTACTTGCCTAGTTAGAAAACTGATAACTACGTAAATACCTAGATAGTAGGACTTACCCACATCTGTTATATGGTATATGGGTAAATATTGACATTTTATGTAAGTTTAAACTAATAAAACACATAAAATAATCATTGACAACCTCGAGATGTGGATTACGAGTAGGTACCTAGTATTTTTTATCGCCACCCATATTAGGTAAGTATTAAATGAAACACATACACTTTCAGCTAGGTTTAAGTTTGTTCAAATACCTACTAGGTATTTGTTCAAACTTAAATCTAATGCTTACCGAAGAGAGTAGGTACCTTTTCATCTTTATTCCACGAATTTCAGCAGCCGTAAAATCCTGATTTTTCATGAAATATTGTGCCACCATCAAACTATCCACTCTTGGCGGATTGTCCGACTGTCCTTTTACAAAACCTTCTTCCATTCTAGCACTACACGTTTCACTTTAGTGTAATTGGATTTAGAGGATAATATTATTTCTTTGAAATACAAGCTCAAACACTATAAGGAATAGGAATACAAAGACGATCGAAAGAAAATGAAACGAGTCCCCCGTAATTTGGTACTGAGACCGCACCGGACCGAGCGCCGCGTTTGTGTTGCTTTCGCAGTCTGCGGGGGTGTGACGTCATGGTGTGAGCGCGCGTAATCTCTGAAATTCAAAAAAGGGCTTAAACTTCTCGTCGTTATAACTTCGGAAATACTGCATGTATTGAAGTGAAATAAAAACTAATGTAATGTACATGATATTTGCTACGATTTTAATAGTATTTGATAGTAATATTTTGACCCTTTTGTGTTCCCCATTGCATGCAAATAAGTGACCAAAATCATCACATAATATTCCTATTCACTTTCTTCTATCACCAATTTCCTTTTAACCTATGCAGAAATTGTGTCCCAATTAAAACTGCCTCATAATGTCATCGGCGAATTCATCTTAACCGCCTAGGAAAAAAGAAGGGTTTTGGCGGGAATTCGTCAGCCGGCGGATTTTTGCTCCTGTTTTGTCGAAATAATGGTTTCATGTAAGAATGCTATTTTATGTGTTTAGGAGGTGCCTTAAAAACTTGTGGTACTTCGACTGACCGCTGGGTTGAGCTATACCTATAGTAAAAATCTCCCAAACACTTCAGAAGCAAATTGACGCATCAGCTTATTGTACGCAGTATTTTTAAATACTATACATATCAATAAAATTGAAATGTTGATCTGTAATATCGATACAACTGGCTTTTATCGAGCTGAGGAGGTTATCTGTTGAATTACCTAAATTAAAAAAGACAAACAATGTTCTTTAGTATTTACGTGTTAATAATAATTATGATAAATAAATTACAATTTAATGTAAGGGAGTTAATTTATTTTTGTAAAAGTTTTGAGAGTTAGTCTGTAGGACGAGGGTTGTCAGGGGGCAGACAAACATAAAGTTAGTGATATCAATTTGGTGCAATTAAACCTCATCTAAACCACATTTGCACTGAGAACTATCCCTGATCTTGAGTTTAGCAAGGTAAACGTAAGTTACGTAGGTACAGGCATGATCAATTCTGAACTGGCGGGCAATAAAAGTTGCATAATATTATGTTTGCTTTAATTCAATTTGAAAAACTAGGGTCTTGATGGAATACTATCTTTTACATGAAAATAATGCTTGCTTTATTTCATTTGTTTTTTTTTTAAAAACGTTACCCCCACTAGGATTTTCTCCTGTATCGTGGAGGCAGTTTACAAACACAAATTGCACAAGGACAAACATGCAGACCCGGAACAATTATTTGTAGTCCATACAAATACTTGTTCCGTGCGGGATTCGAACCCGCGGCCCTCAGCGCAGCAACTCATTGCTAAGCCACGGAGCTGTCAAATGTATTTGAGAGCCGAAAATTATTTTTCTGTGAAATATGAAATTTAATTCAACCTTTAAATTATGGTAAGTAGTCTTTCCGGGTATTTGAGAATGTTGCCATATGAATATGTACTGTTAATACTAAATGTTACTGTTCCTGTAAAATATCTATATATTACCTTCTTTTGTGGTCACAAAGCTTTTCTAGTTGCAAAGTTTCATATTGTATCATGTTATTATTTTTATGTATGGTTATGATAATAAAGATATCGTGTTTCTAAAGCGTATTAATTTTTGTCCCAATATCTTCCTAATAGTTAAATTTTGGCATGTATTGTCAACTAAGTATGGAACTAATTTATTAACTAGTGACACGCCCCAACTTTGCCTAGGTAGTATCTATTAATGTAGCGTTATTTAAATTTAAGATAATAATCAAAGACTATTTTATAAATTTTGTGAATTCTAAAAAAAAAGCACTTTGCATTGCTCATTGTCTGTTCAAGTTTAATTACAATTGGTTCAGCCATTCAGAAGATCACCCCGGACAGACAGACAGACAAACGAAAATTTAAAATGATTATTCATGTTTTAATGGCATGCTTATGTCAGCTCAGTAAAAAGCAGTTCCTTCAATATTACAGATAGATACTTCAATTTTATTTATATATGTGTAGATTGAATAGAAATTTTTATTATTATAACTCCCTTAATATTATTTTTGTTCATTATTCACTCCTTCGGTATTGTAACATGAAAATATCGCTGCTTTATCACATAAAATAAAATATCTCTGTCACCTCTATTAAACGGGAGCTACGTGGACGATACCACTACAAGGCACTAAGTGTCACGAGATTTACTTAAACGGCTCTTACCTATTTTTGTCGCCAAACAGCAGTCTGTGGACTGCTGTATTCTGGTCTGAAGTATAAAGGGCCAGTATAATTACAGATTGTGAGGCATTCCTTTTTTTTTAATAGGATAAGGGTGACAAACGAGCACACAGTCCACCTGATGGTAAGTGGGTGCTGTGGCCTATAGACATCTACATCTATCCTCTATTACAAATCAAAATGTAGATGCGTTGTCACACGTGAGGACAAACATGGAATGCCTCATTTCCAGTAAAAAAGGCCTCTGGCCACCTGCAGTCACCAAGCGAAACGCAGAGGTAAACCTCTACTTCACGCTGGTTTTCTGTGAGGTCGTGGTCCCACCTCGGTTCGAGCTGGCCCATCCGTGCGACAGCAAAACCTGCCGCGTGGCTCTACCACTGTTATAATCCATCCTCGTCTTCAGAGATAAAACGCATATGTTCTTTGTATGAAGTTAGTTGCAGATAATAAAATAAATAATAATAAAATAAACCTTTATTATTTTCTCCCACAAATTGTACAATTGCATATTTTATCTTTTAAAAACATATATATTTTTTATAAAAAAAAAAACAAAGAGGTACATAAATTT